TCGTCAATTTGTCCCCTGGCAGACACAGCCTTCTTTGATCCCCATAGGCACTCCTCTCCACTCCCCAAAAGACCTGTCCCCCATCAGAGGAAGGCCCTCTCCCCACGGTCATGGTAGACCACATTGCAGGGATGGCGGGAGATAGCTGAGCTGAGCTGGGCAGGCTGAGACTCAAAGCCCCCATCTGGCTGCAATGACAGATCCTGGCTGAAATCTACACCAGGCAGAGGGCCAAGGTAAGGAGGCATTGCTGGCTCAGGTGGAAGACGGTGTTTCCAAAACAATTTGGGATGCAAGGAGGATGATAAACACTGGGCCTGGTGAAATGCCTCTCCTGGGCTTGAGCCCCACCCACAAGGTCCACAAGGCTGACCGTGGCCAAGGACACCGATGGCCCAGGCACCGTCACAGAGAAGTGAGCCAGCTGAGTTACACAGGTGCCTGGGACAGGCTGGTAAATGCAGGCAAGTAAGGTGGGGTAACCAGTGGGCAGGGCAGGTGTGTGTGACATGCAGGTCCACCTGCACAGCAGACGTGGAGAGGGTGTGCACTGGTGTGGGACAACAGGAATGACAGGGGAGTGGTTGGGCACAGACAGGTCAGGATGTGACAGGCACACTGACACCACTACTGGGCACTTCCCTGCCAAGTACCAGATGTTTTAGGGTCACCGTCCCTCTGGCCCGGGTTGGGGGGCCTGAGGTCCTTGGAGAAGGAGAGCCTCCAAGGCTCTCCTTTGTAGGACAGGAAAAGGTCAACCTGTGACACACACACCCAGGCTCAGGGAGGGGACCCCGGCAGTGTTCTCCGGGCCAGAGAAAAAAGAAAGGGAGAAGGCACCCTGCCACTCCAGTTGTGTCCTTCTTGGGTTCTCCAGGTTCCCCAGGACCCAGACACACCCTGGGCTCTCCAGGATCCAGGCACCTGATGTCTACTGCCTCAGAATGGTCCTGCCAGCCCAGGAGACGCGGCCACACAGAACTCCTCCCAGGATGGCTCTGTAGGGGCCTCCCCACCTCTACCAGGCATTACGGCCCCTCCCTTCTGAGCCCCCCACCCAGGCCCACTCCAAGCAGTCACCCAGTCCCCAGAGCATGCACCCCTCTCCCAGCCAGGGGCCTGCCACACCCACTCAGGGGGGCACAGAGACCCGATGCCCACACACAACACGCAGGGCCAGTTCCTCCAGAGCGGCACTGGGTGGAAGGTCACCAGCAAACCTGTGTGCCTCCCCCAATCCCAGACAAGTCCTCAGATCCCAACCCACAGCCCTCCTGGAGCCCCCGCAGACTGAGACTACTCCCATCCCCCACAACTGCTGCAGCCCTCGCCCCTCCCAGGGAGCATCTGCTACCTGGAAGCAAGATGGCGATTAAGGTGGGAGAAGCCGGTGGTGAGCATAGCCCCACCCATCACTGCATCACCCCGTTACCGCCACAGGCTGGCCCACTGTCCCCAAGTCATTCCTTGGGCCATGTTGCTCTCCGGAGTTCTGCTTTTGTGAGTTTCCATGCCCAACCCCTCCCAGGTCCCATAAACACTGCCCCAACTGCCCACCCCTTCCAGACCCTCCAGAGCAAGCCCGCAGAAGTCACTCAAGTTCACCTGCAGCTCAGCATGCTCTCATCTTTGTTTCCTGACCAGGGGTTAGAAGTACTGACTGGGAGGAGTCAGCACCATCCCCTTCCTCCTAGGACCATGAAAGCACCCCATGCCCACGACCCACTCCCAGAACCCTCCAAGGGCCCACCTTCCAGACTCTCTCTCTCTCTCTCTCTCCCCCCCACCCTCTCTCTCTCTCTCTCTCTCTCTCTCTCTCACACACACACACACACACACACACACACAGCAGTGGACCTGCTACTCAAAGGCATGGGTACTGAACCAAGACCCTAGCACAAAGGCACAGATGGGAATGAGCTACCTGGGACACACCTGCACACATCTTATGTGCAGTGTGTATAGTATTTGTGTAAACCCTATTCTTGGACATTTATCTCCCACCTGTGGCTCCTTCATTGGGCAACTAAGGCGGAACTTGGGACTTGCAAACCAATGGGGTTGTGGGGTCTTGAGTTGAGACCCTAAAGGCCAGGGCAGGGTCTGGCTTGGGCACTGTGGAGACAAAAGTGAACAATGCAGACAGATCCTAGCCTAGAGAGCTCACCAATCTAGGGAGGAGACAAACCTGAATACGATACATAAAAGTACAGCTGTGATCAAAGGCATAGTTAGTGTCACTAGGTGCCAATATCAGGGGAGATATCCTAGCGGCAGGTGGATTTGGCCCCCAGTGTTGGAGGGTCATGGGCAATCTACCGGGCTCAAAGTCTGGCTCTCACACTGCTTCTTCAGTCTCAACAACCATCAGATCAGTGTAACTCCTGAAAATGGACTGGAAGATGCTGCTTTTGGAAAATGAGCTGGCAGAGCAGGGCCCCCAAATTCTATGTGTTCAGTGAAGTGTAATAACTGGAAGCCTGATGTATTCCTGTGGCTGAGATCTGAAGGATTTAACAAGGAAGTAAAGCCCTGAGCAGGGAGTGGATCCAGGCAAAGGAAGTGCATGTGCAAAGGCCCTGTGGTAAGAGGGATAGTGGTGGTCACCAGTCCTGACAGAGGCAATACAGAGCCCTGAAGCCCAAAGAAAAAGGGCAAAGTGTGGCCAGAGATGAGGCCACTGCCCCCCAGGGTCATGAGACAAAGTACGACACATGAACTCGAAGTGAGGCTCCACACTGTGATGACTCAATCCAGCTGAATAAGGGAAGTATGGTAACCAGGCTGGAGCAGGTGTGGAAGGCAATGGTGACCTCCCTGGCTGGAAGCTCAGGAGCCACCTCCACAGCACAAAGGAAGAGAAAAGATAAGAGCTGAGTTTGCAAAAAGGAGAAACCAACGGCAAAGCAGCTTTGACATCAGAAGCAATAAAGAGGGCAATGAGAAGAAAGCTTTGTAAAACTGGCTAGAAAGCAAAGCAGCCCAGCTCAAGAGAAAGAGAAAGCCAGAAACAGCCTCTCATTCCTGAAATGCCATCTCTCTTGTCCCGTTGGGATCACCTCCTCCAAGAAGCCACCCTTATCCTGTTGAAGTCCCCTTCTCAGAAAACACACACTTCCCCCATCTCAGACAACTTCTGCATTTAAATAAACACTTAGTTAACAAACACTAAACTTCCCATGTACTTGCTTCCTCAGCCCACCAGGGGGCCTCCCAGCGCCAGGCCTCAGCCCAGCTGGTCCCTAATGGCAGCCACTTCCTCTCCTGTGAATCCCAAGAGGCAATCCGGGCAACCTTCTGGTTCCTACACAGTTTCCCCTGCTGATGATCCTACAAGCAAAAAGACCCACATCTAAGAGGAGAGAAGGCAGGGCAAGAACAGTTGCCAAGAGGAAGTGGTTCAGGCACAAATGGACTTAAATTGGAATATTCCATTGATAGGGCGCCTGGGTGGCTCGGCTGGATAAGAGTCAGACTCTTGATTTCAGCTCATGTCATGATCTCACCGCTCGTGGGATCAAAGCCCCGCATCAGGCTGTGTGGGAACAGACCAGAGCCTGCTTGGGATTCTCACTCTCCCTCTCTTCCTCTCCCCCGCTCACACTCTCTCTCTCAAAATAAATAAACATTAAAAAATATCCCATTGATGGCTTATCATGATTAGGGGTCTCTTGCCGCAGAAACCACCCACAGTTGCAAATCCAACATAAGCCATCACTGAGAAGTCCTAGCTTCCCAATGCTAGCGTGTCAGAAAGAAAATTAATCTACATTCCCCCAAACTACATTAGGTCACTGTTCTTCAAACGCTGACACAACAAAACCCCACATTATTCCAAAGTCTGAAAAGCAAACACATATTTTGAAATTTTAGAGGGATTTACACAAAAATAGTGAAAACTACAACGTTTTTTCCACCTGGAAACTAGCTAAATGATCTCCAAATTGGACATCTGTTTTTTGTAGTTTTTCTAAGAAATAACAACCGTGGGCCAAGTTTTTAGAAGAAAACTATATTCTTTTAAAGAAAATGAAAATATTCTCAAAGGAAAAACTTAATTTAAGTCAAATCATACGCTTTTGTCGTGGAGCCCGATACAGAGTGCTTTCCTGCAACAGGTGTTCTCCCTGCCACGGGGACAGGGCGCCCTCTCGTGGTCTCTCTCGACCGAGCCCTGTGGCTGGAAATTTTGCGTGAGAAGGTTCTTTTCCCAAGGCTGAAGGATGGCGAGGGGAGGGGGGCCGAGGGGGAAGCGGACCCCAAGCCAGGAGGGAGGGATGGGGAGACCCGGGCGGGATTGTGGCTGAAAACACCCTTCAGAATCCCGGTGGCCAAAGGCAGGGCTCCTTCGAGGGCCCCACTCCACAAAGGTGTCATTCGTCTCCCCTCTCCTGTGACCCCGCCCAAAAAGGACACCCTTCCTACCCACCAAAGGCGCTTATGAGACACACAAACACGCGTGCCCTCCGTCAACCGCCACCTGCCAGACCACCCCTGCCCCGAGGAGCGATTTCAGGCGGGGCCCCTTTTGAACAAGGAAACACTCCCGCCCCCAGGCCAGTGCGAGGAGGAGGAAGAAGGCGGCCCGCGCCCCTGCTCGCGCCCCTGCTCGCGAAGGCGAAGGCGGCGGCGTCCTCAGCTGGTGCCCCACGGCGGTCTGGGAGCCCGCCCGGGGCCGCGGGGCGCAGCAGCCTCGGGAACGCAAGGCCGGCGGGGGGGGGGGGGGGGGGGGGGGGGGCGGGGTAGGGGCTGGAAGGAAGGGAGCGGCCGGAGGAGGCACAGACGGTGAATAAATAGAAGCAGCTACGCCGCGGGGCCGGCCCCTCGGACAGCAGCTTGGTGGCACGTGGGTGGGGGTGAGGCGGAAGCGCGGCAGCGGCGCCCCCCGTGGGACACAGAGCTCCGACGCCGACCGGGTCGGGTCACCCGTCCCGCCCGGGGGCGCTCTCTGTCGCACACACGCACGCACGCGGGTCCGCAGCGTGGGCTCCTTTCCCGGCTCAGAGCTCCGTGACGTGCACCGCAGGTGAGGGGAGGGGCCCGGGCCTGAGGCGCCGCAGGTGGCAGCGGCGGCACAGCAGGTGGCCGTCCAGGGGGTAGCAGCGGCGTCCATCCTCCCCACTCAGCTGCAGCCCGCAGTCCTAGGGAAGAACACAGCCCCAACCCCAGAGTGAGCGAGGGGGGGGCGCCTGAGAGTAATGGGGCGGGGCGGATCTGCGGGGCCCTGTGCAACTTGCAAAGGGCTTTGACTTTGATTGGGGGCGGGGGACAGACAACAGACAAGGCAGGCCAGTGATCTCTGAGAGAAGAGAAACTAGAGGTAAGCGGTACAACTGCGCAAGTTACTACCTGAAGGGATTGTCCAGGCTGCCCAAAGAGGGCCCAGGGGTCTTCTTGAATTGAGAATTTGGGGAGGCCAAGGCAATTAGAAAGCTCAGAGTGGAGTATGAGGAAGGAGAGAGCTACACGTGCCAATGACTCCCAAATTCCTACACCTGCAGCCAGAGTCTTTGAACTCCAGCATGTCTAGCTCTCGGGGGATCCTAATAGACACCTTCCAACCCCCAAACTGCCACGTTTAGTCATTGGCTGAATCCAGTCCCTTTTACTGCCTGACCTTCACGCAACTCAGTTTACCACCCCGAACCTAGGACCACAACCTCGCCTCCAACAACCTCCTCAGGGAACCCCAGCCACCCTCCCTCTTCCTCCATGCATTCTCTGATGGCAAAGAGCACCACCCTTTCTAAAATCCTCATGCCATCATGTCATCCTTTTGGATCATTCTCCACTGCCCTCAGAATAAGCCCATACTCTTCAGCTCATATATAGCCTTATGTCCCCAGCTCCTGCCAACTTCTCCAGTGACACAAAACAACACATTCACCCTCACACCTAAGCACATTCTGCTTCCACTGCCTGGAAGTGCCTTTCTTACTGTCTTTCTTACTGACTGTCCTTGGCTAACTCAGTCATTTTTCAGATCTTAGCTTGGGTGTCAGCTCCTCCAGAAAGCCTTCCCTGATTCTCCAAGGCCTCCTATGCGCTCTGACAAGCCCTATATGCTCCAGCCCTGCCTGAGTACTCATCACTGTCATAAGCGTAGGGACTCTTTATTTTATTCTCTGTATATCCCCAACAGCCCACATGCTGTAAATCCTCGGTAAATATTTGACTGAATGAGAAACGGGCTGAGAACATATCTTGGGGAGGGCTCTCTAGGGAGGACAGGGAGAATGGGGACATAAACAAGGAGGTGGGTCCACAGAAGACCTAGAGAAAAGGAGATCCATGTGGAGGGGGACCGCACTAGCCACCAGCCCTCCAGCAGGGCCCAGGCTCACCTCACAGTGGTAACACTCCACATGGTAGTCTCTGTCCATGGACACCACACGGATGGTTGTCTCACAGCCCTGGAGGAAGAGATGGGGTTTTGCACACAATTGTGTGTAGTGCACACACCTACTACACAACACGGTCTTGTCATGGCAGGTGTGCATTCACGCCCACGTGAGCACTGGCTTCAGTGCTTCCGCGGCCAGAATGGCATCAGCAGGTGCACAGGAATGGACACCCTCCTGCAGCTGCACCCAACCGCACACACACGTCTATGAGAGCCGTCACACAGGTGTCAAATGTGTGTATACGTGTTCTCTTCAGTTCTTTGCAGTCAGGAACGACCAGAGCCAGTCCGGCCTCCCCAGGCACGGTAGCTTGGGGCAGAACCGACGTGTGGGAGACCCCATGCCAAGAGAGGTGCACCACCCGATGGTGTCTCCTGCATAGACTGCATCCTCCTCTTGTGTGCTCCTCCCACCACCTCAGCCTGCAGAGCTAACAGACAGGGGGCGATCCTTACATCCGTGGGCAAAGGAGCTGAGGGCCACCGTTTCTCTCTAACTCATGCAGGGACACGTGCACCCTGCGTGCATGGGCACAACGCAACCCTCGGCCCTGAGGGATATGGGGCGGGAGCATCCGCATCCCTCCCACAGGGGCCCAAGACCTGGGGCCAACCTGGGGCAGAGGCCAGGCTGGGCCAGACACCTGATCATCTCCAGGTGAGTGGTTCCTACCTGTGCAGGGAGGATAGGACGGGCACAGGAGGCACATTTCGGTGCAAAAACCCTGGAGGAATAAAGAAAACCAGAAGTGACCAGCTGCCAGAGGCCAAGGGCCCAAAGGCAGACCCACCCACAGTAGCCCCATGACATGGCCCAAGCGTCAGAACCCCTTTCCTTGTGTGGACACACTGGTGTGGGAGCAGCCTCTGCGGTGCCTTCTTGGCCTTTTAACTGGTTCCCAATTCACTTCCACCCCATCACCTCCTCCAGGACGGCTTCCATTTCTCCCTACCCTCTCCCTCACACTTCCTGTGAGTTCCCTGCCCCCTAACATCCAGGTTTGGGCCACCCCTAGCTGAGACCCCTGCAAAGCCTGGCTCCACACGGAGTACCAGGGATCCATGCGGTGCACCAACCCCATGCAAGGCTGTAGCACAAGACCAGAACTCTGAGGGCTGGGCCTAGAGCCACAGCTGGGGAGAAGGGACTGGCCTCTCACATGGATACCAGACAGGCAGGGAAGGGACTCTACAGAGACTCCCAAGCCACCACCCCAGGCAGAAGAGGCCAAACCTGGCCCTGGGAGCAAAGGGATAGATGCTGGGTGGGGCAGCCAGGAGAGCCCCCACCACTAGGCGGAGGGGCGCATGCAGGTAAAGGTGGGGAGGGGAGAGAGATGGCTGGTGGCTGAATCACCCAAGAGAGGGTTCAAGGCAGAGAGCCATGCTTTGCCCCAGCCGCTGAGCACACAAGGGGAGGCTGGAAGTAAAAAGGCCAAGAATGGAGAACACAGACAGGCAGGCTGGAAAAATGCTTCCTGGGGAGGCAGGAGAAACAGTGGGAGTCACACCCACCCCAACAGTGCTGGCCACTCACGTGTGATAGTCTCTGACGCAGTAGATGTTGTTCTCCACATCCACAGTGAAGGGCACCCCGTCCAGGCACTCGTTACACACTGAGCACCGGAAGCAGCCTGGGTGGTAGGACTTCCCGAGGGCCTGCAGGATCTGGGGGTGGGAGGCACTGAAGGGTCAGTGCAGACGGAAGGCTCAGCACAGCCCCCAGAAGAGGCTCTGGCTCTGAGCCCTCGGCAGGTCTGCAACAGGTGAAAGGGTGGGTCCTAAGACCACCCATGTCAGAGGGGTTCCAGGAGGCTGGGGGAGGTTCTCACCATCTCCATGATGAGGTGTCCACACACACTACACTTGTCGGCTGTTTGCTGGAACCCAGAGTACTGAGAGGAGACAAAGGATCCAGGATGTCGTGTGACAGAGGGGCACTCCCTGCCCAGCCAGCACCTGCCTCCTGGGCCCAGGTCTCCATGTGCAGCAGGAGGGTCCCCTCCCCTCCCCTGGCACCTGCCAGGGCCCAGCTCTGACTCACCAGGAAGTCCTCCTGGCAGTACACTTTCTCACCCACGTTGTAGAACGCCTTCCCTCGAAGTCGTCTCCCTGCAAGGACGAGTATCGAGAAGGGTCCTTGGGCCGCTGGAACCCGGGGATGGGGCCCCTGCTTCCATGTCTCAGGACTCTCCTCCAACAGACGAGAAGCAGATTATGGGCAGATTTTAACATTTCCCTTTCATATTAGGCTACTACTGTTATAATAATAAATCTTTTTAAAAGATTAAACAGCGGTGCCTGGGTCGCTCAGTCAGTTAAGTGTCTGACTTCGGCTCAGGTCACGATCTCGCGGTCCGTGAGTTCGAGCCCCGCGTCAGGCTCTGTGCTGACAGCTCAGAGCCTGAAGCCTGTTTCGGATTCTGTGGCTCCCTCTCTCTGCCCCTGCCCTGCTCACGCTCTGTCTCTCTCAAGAATAAATAAACATTTAAAAAAAAATTCTTTTTTAAAAGATTAAACACACTGACAGGTTGTGTTAAGAGGTTGTCATTTTAGGGGCACCTGGGTGGCTTGGTCGGTTGAGCGTCCGACTTCGG